GGCCCCCATCGCACCCCTCACGAGGAGCACGTGGGTTCCGAGATGGCGCGCGAGAAGCTCGGGACACCCTGGGCCAGGAGAGCATTCCGGCTCCTGCGGTGCTGTGTGTCCAACTGCGGGATGAACGAGCAGTGCTCTGTCAAACTCTCCTGGCGAGAAATGCCCGTTCTTGCCCCCTGCGTCCAGGTTGTGTGGTTGGCCCGCGCTGTTGTAACATATATGCCTGCACGCATGGGTGATCGGCGATTGAAGGTCACTGTGCACAAATGATTAGGCGAAACAGAACGTTTCAGTTATTCCCAACCATCCTGTGGTTCTGGGTCCTCGTCTTGAAGAGACGGTGCCCCGCGTCTCCTCCCTCTCCTCCCTTTCTCCTCCCTCTCCTCCCTCAACTCGACCGTTTCGGCACACCCCTCACGTGTTTCGTGGCCCCATAACAAGCTCCACCCACGGCCCAAGTGGTGCCGCCCGCATGCGGTCCCGCACCACCGTCTTCTGTGCCCGCCTGTCGGTCTCGCGGCCATGTTGCCGCCGTCGCCGCCCCGTCGCCGCCTCGTCGCCGCCCGTCGCCGGGGCCTGTCTGTCGGTGCGGCGGCTGTGTGGGCGCCCCGTCGCGGCCCCGTCGCCGCTCGGACTGCCGCTCCAGATTGCACAACGTAGAAGTTCACCGCATCGTTTGCACCACACAGCTAGCACCGAGTATATTGCATCACATCGGTTGCACCACATAGCGTGCGCAACACATATTGCGATGCGTAAGTTGCCCGGCATAGAGTGCACAGCATGTAGTGCACCACATATATATTGCACGAGTCATATTGCGCCACATAGAATGCACCACATAGGTTGCACCTGTTAGGCTGCACCACATAACTTGCACACCACACATTGAACCGCATAGCTAGCTTCACATGGATTGCGCGTCATAGTTTGCACCACATAGTGCACACCGTGTATTTCACAGTTTCAACGACATCGATCGAACCACATAGAGTGCTCAACATATATTGCACCACATATACTGCACCACTGAGGCTGCACCACACCGCGTGTAAACATACACTGAACCGCATCGATTGCACCACTTGGATTGCACAATCTATAGTGTACCACATAGATTGCACCGCATAGATGGCACAACATATTTTGCCTACCAGACTCACTGTTTGGGGTTAGCGCTGGCTATCTATGTGGTGAAATTTACGTGGCGCAAATCACCATGCCGAACTTGGAGTTGTCCACTCCACTGCTCGCGCAATCATCCCACCCACCCGCCCGCAACGTGGTTTGCAAGCGGAAACGATTGTGATGAGTGCTTGGCGTTGGCTGGCGCATCTCTGCGGCCGCACTAACCCGCGCATGCTTGCGCGCGCAGGGGCCAGCTAGTTTGGCGCGACCGACGCGAACGCGGTGGCGCTGACCGCTCGGCACATCCAGCGGGCACTTAAGTACGAGTCGGCGACTTGGGCGGGCGCGGTATCATGACAACGTCGACAACGTTAGACACGATGATGATAGCAGCGATGCTGGTGACGATGCTGACAGCGACGACGGGGCAGCCAGTGACGTCGCCGATGCTGATAACGCCGACGACGATGACGGTGTCTTCGCGTTGGTGATGGAGGTTTTGGAATGATTTCGGCACGCGCGCGCGGCAGGCGCGCGACTGTGGCCCGCATTGTATTTTCAGCCGCAGCACGCGCGCGAAGGCTTTCGAACGAATTCGACACGCGCGCGCGAAGCCTGTTTGGTATAATTTTCTGAGAATGCTGAGAAACCTCTTGTTTGTTGAAGAACTCGCAAGAGCGCGCTCAACTTTCTACTTTTTTTTATATATATTTATGACTATGTTTGCTTCACTTTCTATATGTATATACCCTGGTGAAGAAAGTTGTAAAACAAGTCCGTGTTGCGAACATGCTTTCTACATGTTTTTTGGACACTCGATTTTGACATCTTTCCGGCACCGAAGGTTTTTCAAGGATTTCCGCATGCGCGCGTGACGACGCGCGCGTGTGCACTTCGTCATTTTTTGTAAGGGATCCTTGAACATTGGTGATGCTTGATAACAGAATGCGAGCGCGCATTTGGTTGCGCAGGATGGCGGGGGGGCTCGATACCGGCCTGCATGGGATGATATGAATTCATCGTTCAGATGGGCGATGGGGCAGAATCATATGAAGTTTGCAATACGAAGCGGGGGTCGATGATCCTGGGGTGGGAGGGGGGGTAGAGTTTAGTCTCTTTGAAGACAGGAGGATATGTCTGTGCTGTGCTATCTATGCGCAATATATGCGGTGCAATCCTTGTGGTGCAGACTACGTTCCAGACGGCGGGCGGCGGCGAGGCGGCGACGGAGCGGCGACGGCGACAACATCGTGGCCAAATCGACGGACAGGCCCAGGCGACGGGCGGCAACGATGTGGCGATTTGGGCTGCGACGGCGACAGCAGATCGGCCAGACCGCCAGCCAGGCCCAGACGACGGGCGGCGACGGGGCGGCGACGGCGACAATATAGCCGCCAGACCGCCAGCCAGGCCCAGTGCCTCAGACCAGAAGTGCAGGCCGCTAAGCGCAAGCACTGTTTGGGACATGTGTTGCAAAGCAATGCGCCGCAATGCAAAGCAATGCAAAGCAATGCAACTCAATGTGAAGCACAGCAAAGCAAAACAACGCAATACACAGCAATGCAATGCAATGCAAGGCAACGCAATGCAATGCAATACAAAGCAATGCACAGCAATGCAATGCAATGCGAAGCAATTCGCAGCAAGCGATGCAAGGCAATGCAAGGCAATGCAAGGCAACCCAAATCAATGGAAAGCAACGCACAAACATGCACAGCAATACAAAGCAATGCAAAGCAATGCAAATCAAAGCGACGCAGTTTAACGCAATGTAAAGTAATGCGACGCAATTGCAAGTAACGCAACGCAATGCAAAGTAATGCGAATCAATGCGACGCAGAGCAACTCGATGCTAAGCAGTGCAAATATCGCAATGGTATAGCAGTACAATCACGCAGATTAACTCAGTGCTATAGCAGTGCAGTGGCGCAATGCTAGGCAAGTGCAAGGCACCGTCAAGCAACACAAGGCACTGTCAATCAATGCGAAGCAATGCAATTCGATGCAAATCAAAGCGAAGCAACACATTGCAACGCAATGCAAATCAATGCAAAGCAACGCAGGGCAATGCCAAGCAGTGCAAGACAATGTAGGGCAATGCCAAGCAATGCCAGATCAATGCAAAGCAGTTCGAAGCAAAGCACAGCAATGCACAGCAATGCAAGGCACGGGCGCGCTGGGCGGCCGCACGCCGGCCGGACCGCTATGCAGTGCCCAGCTGCGTGCGGCGACGGACTGCGGCGACGGGTGGCGACGGGCGGCCATAAGCCGGCTCTCTTTGGGCGTCTTGGGGGGCTGTTGGGACGCATTGGGCCGTCTTGGGGCCATGTCGGCCGTGCTGGAGGCGTCTTGGGGCCGTCTTGGAGGCCATCTTGGGCCATCGGCCCCGTCTTGGCGGCAGCTCGGAGCCGATCTGGGGCCGTCTCGCCCGTCTTGGAGGCGTCGGGGGCGTTGCCTCTCACCTGTTACGTTGCTCGGTGGCGAGCGTGATCGGCCGAGACCAGTCTGGGGACTTTCAGAACATATCTTGGCGAAGGACCCAACCATCTGCAGTCGTGAGTGCCGCGGTGGTGCGCATCCTCTTCGATGGAGCTCCAGATGGGGCCACGAAGCGTGTGAGGGGTGTGCCGACATGGGTGGCGGGGGCGCATGTGGTCACAACCACTGGGGCCTTCGGTGGAGCTCCCTACGGGGCCACGAAGCGTGTGAGGGGCGTGCCGACATGGGTGGCGGGGACGCATGTGGTCACAGCCACTGGGGCCTTCGGTGGAGCTGCCTGGCAGGGACGCGTGTGGTCACAGCCACTGGGGCCTTCGGTGGAGCTCCCTGTGAGGCAACGAAACGTGTGATGGGCGTGCCGACATGGGTGGCGGGGACGCATGTGGTCACAGCCACTGGGGCCTTCGGTGGAGCTCCCTATGGGGGCCACGAAGCGTGTGAGGGGCGTGCCGACATGGGTGGCGGGGACGCATGCGATCACAGCCACTGGGGCCTTCGTTGGAGCTCCCCGCGAGGCAACGAAACGTGCGAGGGTGTGCTGAAATGGGTGGCGGGGGCTCATGTGGTCACAGCCACTTGGGCGTTCGCTGGAACTCCCTGAGGGGTATGCCGAAATGAGTGGCGGGGACACATGTGGTCACAGCCACTGGGGCCTTCTGTGGAGCTCCCTATGGGGCCACAAAGCGTGTAAGGGGTGTGCTGACATTGGTGGAAGAGACGCATGTGGTCACAGCCACTGGGGCGCTTGGTGTAGCTCCCTATGGGGCCACGAAGCGTGAGGGGTGTGCCGACAGGGGTGGCGGGGTCGCATGTTGTCCCAGCCACTGGGGCCTTCGGTGGAGCTCCATACGGGGCCACGAAACGTGAGAGGGGTGTGCCGAAACAGAGACATGCGGGAGGAGGGGGGGAGGGGGAGGGCAGCGGGACGGAAGGAGACGCGGGGCGTTGTCTCTTCAAAACGAGGACCCAACAACGGTTGGTTAATGAAAAACAAATCCAACTCGCCAGGCACCCGTTCGGCAAATCAACAGGGGGGTGGATCCAGCGGCCCATCGCCCCGTCCTGCCACCATGCTTGGGCTGTGCTGCCAGGCCGCATATGGTTTGTGAACGGTGAAAGTCAACAGCGCATCCCCAGCCAGCCGGGCTCCCATCGTCGTCCTCCGAACCATTCTCTTCAGCCTCCTCCTCCTCGTCCTCCTCTTCCTCCCCTCGCCTGCCCTCTCGTCCCTGCGGGGTCGCCTCGGTGCCTCCCATGGGCCGCTTCAGTGCTCCGCCAGGGCCGTCGCTGTCGCCGTCGCCGTCGCTTTCGTTCTCGCCAGCGCTCTCTTCGTTGCCTCGGCCCCCCCGCGCCGCCCGCGTGCGCGCCCGCAGGACATCGCCTGATGGCTTCGCTGTGCCCTTTCTGTGCCAGTCTTGCTTTGTTTTCGCTGCGGGCGGGGGGATTCAGAGAAGCACAGGGTGCGGGGAATGGGGGAGGAGGAAGAGGAAGAGGAAGAGGAGGATGAGTAGGAGGATGATGATGAGGAGGAGGAGCAGAAGCAGAAGCATGAGCAGGAGCAGGAGCAGGAGAGGGATGAGAAGGAGGAGGAGGAGGAGGAGGAGGAGGAGGAGGAGGAGGAATAACAATACGAATGGCAATAACACTACTAATACTAAGACGACAAGAAGAGGAACGCTAGGACCCTAACTACTAAGCATATCAACAATACCACTAATCGTACTACGAAAACTGATAATTACATACGTATTCAGAAGCATCGTAGCAAGACGCATGCTGAGAACATCACTACGGCTAGCACTAGTACTAATGCTATGACTAATAAGACGAATCCGCATACAGCGACCGCTAATACGACTACTGACATGAATCTACTAGTCGCAGTAAGAGTAATACTATTAGGCACACTAAAAAGCATACTAGTACTAATACAATTTAGAGGGCTACCACGAAGCATGGTCCTACTATATATAATATCACTGGGGACAGTAACGAACTACCGAATAGGCACACACTTCTGATAAACTTAATCGTGGTAATAAGACGAAGAGGAGGGGGAGGAGGACGATGAGGATGATGAGGAGGAGGAGGAAGAGGAGGAGCAGGGGAAGAATGTCACGCGTTAACTTCTACCTTTGCAGCTACCTGGGTTGATCATCCCCACCAGTGGCGAAGGCCACCAGCGGGGGGATGACAGCGTTCGTCACCGAAGCCCAATGCCACGATAGTCGAATGAGGATGATGATACTGATGCTGATGATGATGATGATGATGATGATGATGATGATGATGATGATGATGATGATGATGATGCTGATGCTGATGATGATGATGATGAGGAGGAGGAGCAGGAGGAGGATGTGGTGGCGGTGGAGCGGGACGAGGGGTACGCAGAAGGAGGAGGGGAAGCGAGATGGGGGAGGGAGGATGAATACTACTATGATTCTGACACCTATGATTACACATTGCGACATATGCGATTGTGATGGTAATGGTGATGGTGGTTGTGGTGAGGATAATGCCGATGGTGATGACGCTAAGGATAAGAAGTATGGGGATGCCGATTATTATGATGGTGAGGATGATGATGAAGAAGGTTGGGGGAAAGGGGAGGCAGTGGAGACGGTGCAGGGGTAGAAGTAGTGAGGGGATGGCGGAGGAGGCGGAGGCGGAGGCGGAGGCGGAGGAGAGGGAGGAGGCGGAGGAGGAGGAGGAGGAGGAGGAGGAGGAGGGGGTGGAGGAGGTGGAGGGGGAGGAGGAGGAGGAGGAGGAGGAGGATGAGGAGGAGGAGGATGAGGAGGAGGGGGGGGAGGAGGATGATGATGCGGAGGAGGTGGAGGAGGAGGAGGATGAGGAGGAGGAGAAGGATGAGCAGGAGAGGATGAGGCAGAATGCTGCTGCTGATGCTGCTGCTACTGATGATGATGCTGATGATTACGATGACGATGACCATGACGACGGCGACGACGACGATGATGATGACATGCTGATGGGGATGATACTGATGCTGATTATGATGTTGATGTTGATGATGATGCAGATGATGGTGATGATGGTGATGATGATGAGGATGTTGATGGCGATGGTGACGATGCCGATGATGATGATGCTGCTGCTGCTGACGATGATGATGCGGATCATGACGATGATGCTGATGCTGAGGATGACGCTGATGAGGATGATGCTGCTGGTGTTGATGCTGATGATGATGCCGACGATGATGCTGTTGACGATGATGCTGATGATGATGAAGACTAACCTGATGCTGACAATGATGTTTTTGACCACGCTACTGCTGATGATGCTGATGCTGCTGCTGATGATAATGATGGCGACGATGAGTACGATGATGCTGATGCTGATGATGATGCTGATGCTTATGATGATTATGATGATGCAGATGCCGATTGTGATGTTGATGATGATGCTGATGCTGATGATGCTGATGATGCTGATGCTGAGGATGATGACGGTGCTGATGCTGATGGTACTGCTGCTGCTGCTGATGACGATGATGATGCCGATGATGATGTTGAAGCTGATGATGCTGATGGTGATGATGCGCTGCTGATGCTAGTGTTGATGGCGGTGATGCTGATGCTGATGCTGATGATGATGATGATGATGATGATGATGATGATGATGCTGACGACGCTGACGATGATGATGATGATGATGATGATGATGATGATGATGATGATGCTGCTGATGATGATGATGATGATGCTGATGCTGATGTCGATGGCGATGCTGATGCTGATGATGCCGATGATGCTGCTGATGATGCTGATGATGCTGATGCTGATGCGGATTCTGGTGATGACGATGACGAAGACGATGATGATGACGATGACGATGACGGTGGTGCTGGTGCTGCGGCTGATGCTGACTCTGGCGATGACGGCGACGAGGAAGATGCGGATTATGATGATGATGATGACTACGATGAGGATGATGAGGCTGGTGCTGATGAATATGATGACGACGACCATGACGACGGTAATGAGGATGAGGATGAGGACGAGGATGATGATGACAATGTTGATGATGCTGATGATGATGATGATGGTGGTGGTGGTGGTGGTGGTGGTTGTGGCGGTGATGATGCTGATGATGCTGGTACTGAGTATGATGATGACCATGATGATGATGATGCTGATGATGATGATGATGGTGATGCTGCTTATGCGGATGATGATGACGATGATGACGATGATGTCGATGCTGATGCTCATGATGATGTGGATGATGATGAGACTGATGATGCTGCTGCTGCTCATGATGATGCTGCTGATGATGATGACGATGATGCTGCTGATGATGCTGATGACGATGAATATGCTGATCATGATGATGCTGTCGACGATGATGATGATGCTGATGACAACGTTGATGATGCTGCTGCTCATGATGTTGCTGATGATGATGATGATGATGATGATGATACTGATGATGATGATGCTGATGATGATGATGATGGTGATGCCGATGATGATGATGCTGATGCTGATGCTGATGCTGATACTGATGCTGACGCTGATGCTGATGATGAGGATGGATGGTGATGATGATGATGATGATGGTGATGTTGGTGATGGTAGTGGTGGTGGTTCTGCTGATGATGCTGCTGATGATGACGATGATGTTGCTCCTGATGATGATGCTGCTAATGATGATGCTAATGCTGATGATGCTGACGCTGATGCTGATGATGATGATGACGATGATGATGACGATGATGATGATGACGATGATGATGATGATGATGATGATGATGCTGACATTGATGATGATATGCTGATGATGATGATGCTGCTGCTGATGATGATGATGATGCTGCTGACGACGATGATGATGAGGATGATGATGAGGATGATGATGAGGATGATGATGATGATGATGCTGATGCTGATGATGCTGATGCTGATGATGATGCTGATGATTCTGATGATGATGATGACGACGATTACGATGATTATGATGATGATGATGATGATGATGCTGATGCTGATGATGCTGATGTGATGATGATGATGATGCTGATGATGATGATGATGATGATGATGATGATGATGATGATGATGATGATGATGCTGATGATGCTGATGATGCTGATGATGATGCTGATGATGATGCTGATGCTGATGATGCTGATGCTGATGATGATGCTGATGATTATGATGATGATGACGACGATTACGATGATTATGATGATGATGATGATGCTGATGCTGATGCTGATGATGATGATGCTGATGCTGCTGATGATGATGAGGATGAGGATGATTATGATGATGATGATGATGATGATGATGATGATGATGATGATCATGATGATGATGATGATGATGATGATGATGATGATGATGATGATGATGATGATGATGATGATGATGATGATGATGATGATCGGCGGAGGAGGAGGAAGGGAGGTGAGGAGGAGGCGGAGGAGAAGGCGGGGGAGTAGGAGGAGGAGGAGGAGGAGGAGGAGGAGGAGGAGGAGGAGGAGGAGGAGGAGGAGGAGGAGGGGGAGGGGGAGGAGGACAAGCTACGTGCGCTCGCGTCATATCTGACATCCTACCCCTCCCTCCCATCCCTTACCATGGCGTAGATCCCCTCTCTACTCGCACAGTCGGATGTCGAGCAGGGCAATGCTCCCGAAAGGGTACGCGATGCATTGTAGAGCGCGGCATGGCATGGCGTAGAAAAGCACCGCAAAGCGTAGTATGTCACAGCATGGCGTTGGCGTGGCGTAGTAAAGAATTGCATGAATAATTGCATCACAAAGCTTTGCAACGCAAAGCATGGCATGGCATCGCACAGCGGCCCCGAGCATAACATTGCATAGCATGGCGTTGGAGATCAAAGCGTAGCATGGCATAGCACGACGTGGCACTTAAGCACTGCATATCACAGCTTCAGCTGAAGGCATGGCATCGCGCAGCGGAACGCAACCTAGCATTGCATTACATGCCGTGGCATGGCACGGGAAATGACGCCAGCGCTGCAGCGGGAGCACGATTCGGAACGAGTGGAAGCGCGGAAATGAGGCCAGCGCGGCAGCGGGAGCACGATTCGGAACGAGCGGAAGCACGGAAATGAGGCCAGCGCTGCAGCGGGAGCACGATTCGGAACGAACGGGGCCCGAAAATGAGGCCGGCGCCTAGCGAGAGCAGCATTTTGAAAACAAATGCAGGCGAAAACCCAACTCCGGGGAATCCTGTGTGTAAAAAAACCATACGCGGGGTGGGGGCAAACACTCCCAACCCGTCATCAGGGGAAGGAGGAGAGTAGTATTCATATTGAGTAATTGTGGAGGAGGAGGAGGTGGAGGAGGAGGAGGAGGAGGAGGAGGAGGAGGAGGAGGGAGGGGCAGAGGAGGAGG